CTGCTGACAGGAGAGGTGAGCGGTGCCGGGAATTCTGGGACATGATCCAGGAACAGACAAGGGGTGTGTCTGGGTGGTGACTGTATCATTGTGTGTGTCAGGTTCCTATAAGGTGTCAGGATGTCTCTGTCTATTTCTCCATGGAGGAGTGGGAGTATCTAGAAGGACACCGGGATCTCTACAAGGACGTGGTGATGGAGAATGCCCCGCCCCTCACATCACCGGGTAAGAGGAGAGAGCAGTACGGAGGCTCCGCCTACACCCCCCATCATCTGATACACACATAGAAACAATGTATTCAGTCATTGTGTGTCTCCTACAGATGGATCCAGTAAGAGGAACCCACCAGAGAGATGTCCCCGTCCTCTGTATTCCCGGGACCCCACCCAGGAAGATCTCACCATCCCCCACCATGATCAGGTAGATGGGACTAAGGTGTTAGACCTAAATATAATTCCCATAGGACCTTCTTCTATGTCAACTCTTGTTCCTTTTTACAAATGTATTCTATCATCTTTAGAGTAAAGAAGTTAAAGATTCATTCCTCAATATAACGTCATGTGACCAACAAATGAGGAGGAGATACTGTACACCATATGAAGGTCCATCTCCATTCTCATGGTTACAATGTCATGAAGGTATAAACGGATCTGTAACATGATTTTTGGATCTTTCTCTCCTACAGATGGACTCTGTGCCGGGAACAGGAATACCTCTGAGGGACATCTTATGTTATCTCCAGATTATAATGACCTCAAACATACTCCAGGAGTGAATCCCATTACTCATAATAGACATCACCGACCTTCCCATTCAGAGACATCAATGGATCCATCTACTCCCGAGGAACCTTCTGACCAATCACAGACTGTTACTCCAGATACACATCTGAGTTCTCAGAGTGCGGAGAGATCAACAGATCCATCTGATCCCAAGGAATGTTCTACAAGTCATGAAGGAGGCCACACAATAGACAGTTCATTGGCATGTTCTTTATGTGGTAAAACTTTCACTTTGAAAAAATACCTTATTAGACACCAGCAACGTCACACAGGTGAGAGTCCTTTCTCATGCTCAGAGTGCGGAAAATGTTTCAGTGAGAAAAGATGTCTTCTTAAACACGAGAGAAGCCACACCGGTCCCCATTCATGTTCAGTGTGTGGGAAGATATTTGCTAATAAAGGAAACGTTGTTCTGCACGAGAAAAAGCACACGGGGGAGCTCCCCTATTCATGTTTAGTGTGCGAGAAAGGTTTCACACACAAAGGACTCCTTGTTGCACACCTGCGAGTGCATACAGGCGAGCGTCCTTTTTCATGTTCAGAGTGCGGGAAAAGCTTTAGTCAGAAAGGAAACCTCACTAAGCACCAGAGAAGTCACACGGGTGAGCGTCCTTTTTCCTGTTCAGAGTGTGGAAAGTCTTTTTCTGTGAAATCAGATCTTCTTAATCACCAAAGGAGTCACACGGGTGAGCGTCCTTTTTCATGCTCAGTGTGTGGGAAATGTTTCTTTCTGAAAAAGACACTTCTTACACACCAGAGAAGTCACACGGGTGAGCGTCCCTATTCGTGCTTAACCTGTGGCAAATGTTTCCTCCACAAAGTAAACCTTGTTGTGCACCAGAGAAGTCACACGGGTGAGCATCCTTATTCATGCTCAGAGTGTGGAAAATGCTTCGCTGATAAAGTAAAACTTCACCTGCACCAGAGAATCCACACAGGTGAGCGTCCTTACTCATGTTCAATGTGTGGGAAATGTTTTAGTCAAAAAGGAAACCTTGTTAAACACCAGAGAAGTCACACGGGTGTACGCCCTTTTTCATGTTTAGAATGTGGGAATGCTTTCATTGTGAAAGGAGACCTTCTAAATCACCAAAAAAGTCACAGGGGTGAGCGCCCTCACGCATGTTCCGAGTGCGGGAAGTGTTTCACTTTGAAAGGAAGCCTTGCTAAACACCAGAGGGTTCACACAGGCGAGCGTCCTTATTCATGTTTAGTGTGTGGGAAAAGTTTTAGTCAAAAAGGTAACCTTGTGAAACACCACAGAACTCACACGGGCGAGCGTCCTTTTTCATGCTCCGTGTGTGGAAAATGTTTCATTGAGAAAAGACAACTTGTTAAGCACCAGAGAATTCACAATTAGGAGGGTGGTTTTTCATGCTCAGAGTGTGGTCAGTAGTTTCATATATGAAGGAAACCTTATTAGAGATCAGATGACACTATTGAGATATGTACGGGGGAGAGAGAGAGTCCTCCATTGGTGATGGGAATGAGCTCAATTCATAGAGAGTCATCCAGTGGTGATGGGAATGAGCTCAGATCATAGAGAGTCATCCATTGGTCTTCATTGAGACCTAGAATCCAGAAGGTCCAGTTTCACATGGTATCACCTGATATTCTAAGTATACGTGGAGCCACCACAAAGGTCACATAGGACATTCCCATCGCAACCACCTTTGCTATCCTCCTCATGGTCACAGTGATGGGCTCCATAATCTCCCTCAGTGATATGAAGGTCATCATCCTCCCCTTCAGTGACCTCCAGTGTCCAGCCAACGTAGAATTATTAATAACTAATATGTTTTATACTTGAGTTCTAGAAGATTTGATGTAGAGTCAGGCTTTGTTCTGTTGCGTGTTGGTCGTTCATTCCAATATTGTAAAATAAACCAGAAAGTTCTACACTTTCCAATTTTGTAGCCTTTTGAGTTCATTATTTTCCAAATGACAATAACCACTAACAACACTGAACCTTGGGGGACACCACTAATAAC